ATTTTTCAAATCCTCTAGGGTCTCAACCCCTGCTTGTTCAAGCCATTTTTCTAAATACCTCTGCATATTTGCCCATAATTGAGAATAGGTTTCATCAGGCTTTTTGGTCAATGCCCTAAATTTCCGCCTCAAATGCTCTGCAAAAACCAGCTTTTTAAAAGCTTCGTATTCTCTCACCTTTTCATGAGGCATGCGGGCATATATTTCGGCGAGTTCGCCACTAATTTGGGTCCTTAAAATGATCATTTTATCAGATTCTGGGATTTTATAGTCCCAGCAGGCTCTCTCAAATAGTATCAGAAATGCCTCTGGATTAGCCCCCTTTCTGAATTGTGGGAATTTCTTGAGGTCTACTTTTAAAATCTCTTCACTGGCTGAATTGTTATTATTCTGATTTAGGGCTGTTATTTCTAGTTGTTTCATTCGTAATTCATGTTCCATCTCCTTTTCCCTCATGGCCATTTGTCTGGCTTCAGCCCTTTCTCTGGCCTCTGCCTCTGCCTGTCTGGCTTCAGCTCTATCTCTTGCTTTTAACTCAGCCCTCCTCAGTTGAAATTCCTTCTCCCATTTCCACTTTTGAAATTCTTGGGAGGTTAGAGTAGCTCCTCCTGCTCAGCTACCTCAAGAGAACTTTCCTCTTTGTGAGGTAACCCTTGTCCTTCTGGAACCTCCATTGTTAACTTTTTCCCTCTCTTAGGAGGCATGGCTTATCTGTGTTCTCAGATTCAAAACCACGAGCCTGGTTTTAAAAGGGACCTAAAATTTTTTCTCTGTGCTATGGAGAGATACTTTGTAGCTTAGACAGCCTACTCTAGGCTTGCTCCGCTACTTTGTTACTCCAGGCACCCTGCCTGAGCTGCTTGTGGGATACACTGTTTCTTTCTGGCTTTCAGCCACACACTTAATTTTTTTTCCTGATTTCCAAGCTTTTCTGTTTGTTTCTGTTTCCCTCAGATCTGTGTTTTGACCCCGGCTTCCGCTTCTTGTCCTCTCAGCACTCTCTTCTTCCAGTCTTTTCCAATCTTGATTTAAACCTTAAACTGGTAAATTTTCCTCAGAGCTTCCCCTTTCTGTAGTCTTTCCCTGATCTGCACTCAGGAGTCCCTTTTAAGCTTTTCACCAAGCTACTTCCAAGGGTCCCACTCCTGCCCTTGCAGCACCAGACTACTAGGTTCCCTAAGCTCAGGAAATTCAAGTTTTCTTTGGTTTACTGAAATCTTTTGGCTCACTGGATTATCTTTCGAATCCCACCATGCTGCCAACCACTTGTGGCGATCCCCCTCGTTGCCCCTTTATTTCCTTTGGGCTCCACAAAGGTAAACACGCCTTTTTCCTTCTTTTCACTGCCACCAGGTATTTCTCCTAATACCACTACAATTCACACACACAGCAGCTGCTCATATAACTTAGGAATCAGGGGATTGATCAAATATTCTTTTATTAATGAACAAAATCATAAGGAGAATCAAATATATAACTGTTTCAGGTGTGCATATCTTAGATCACTGGTTCTCAACCTTGGCTTACTTAGGAGTTGTGGACTGCAATTCCCAGAAGCCTTCACCACCAACTGTGCTGGCTGGGGTTTCTGGGAGTTGCAGTTCAAAAACATCAAAGTAACAAAGGTTGGGAACCTAGGTATTAGATCATGTATTCAATCACTGGTGTTTCTCATGTTGGGCTTATGTGTTCATTCCTGCTTGTCCACTATATTTTACTCTTTCAATTTCCTTTCTTAACCCCTTTTTAGCTATTCCTAAACCCTAGCACTCTCTCCACATCTTCTTGCCCCTACTTCTCTATATCCCTATCTCATTCCAACTCTCCTTAACTGTCCCTTCTCACTCTCTAACTGTCATTCTGACTCCGCCCCTCCTGCTCTATCCTCTGATTGACATGCAGGAATGACATCATCTTTTGGGTTCTGCTACACTTTGTTTCAAAGTACAGACTACCTACTGTATTGTGGATTGGCTTCCCTAATCTGAGGGAAGCCAACCCAGAGAGAATGAGGAAAAGATGTAACACAGCCTCCCAAAGTGCCCCCTCCATGACCTTTCATTGTTTGTGCCCAGCTGTCATGTTCAAGTATGCTGCGCTTTGCAGGACCATTCTTTTAAACATGGCCCCCATTCTGCATGACCAAGCATTCAATTTACCATTCCTGCCCTGAGTCCATAATTGCTTCCAGCAGATGCAGACCCTTGGATGGCTAAGAGATATATTTAGCCTCTTACACACTACAAAAAAACAAAAAAGAGGGGGATGCATCACAAAACTAGTTTTTTTGCATAACATTTACATGTGCTAATTTATTTATAGTTTCACATTTAGGGAAATGTGTTGTAACAATGGCATGCCTCACCATTGTTGGGAACCTGCTCAACTGATGGTTGATGAGTGACATTAAGACCTCTGTTGTCCTTTCTTGCAGTTATTTTTTATTGGATTAGGACAGCCTTTCAAACACAGGTTACCTTCAAACAGAAGGCTTCATTTGTTAGCTATTCAAACTGAGGATTGCCTTTTATAAAATAGGACATATTGGCACCTTAGTAAGAGACAGTTGTTGGATTCTATAGGGTGAGATGAAGAAGGGCTTCAGTTTAGAGGAATGAGCTTGCTGGGAGCAGAGGCACCAGAGGAGCAGAGATGGACTTTGGATATACATGAGAGGCTGGCAATCATGCATTGATTGTGTAAGGTACAGAAATGCCACGTTAGTCTTCTGGTGCTTCTAATTAGGCCATAGCATGACTTAGAATGTTCTATATAAGTTAAAACATTGAGATATCAGGATATCACTGAGATATCAGCAGAAAAAAAGGTCTATTTTAGCCAGCCTTTGTTCATTAAATATATGTTCCATTCTAGTAAGGAAGACCCTTGGTGCTTATTGGGCCCAACTATAAACGAATATTGTGTAGTTCTTAAGTTGGCATACAGTATATGCCCACTGCATACTTAACCATGACGTGCAATTTGATCTTAAGTGTGTGCACATTTGGGTTCACATTTGCATTAGTGCTGTGATCCTTAACAGGGCTCCATAAAACTGGCAGATTTTTTTTGGCAGAGATTGTTCTAACACAAATAAAGCTTATTCAAGACCAAGATTTACTTAGAGCTCTTTCTGCAGAAGAGCAGTAGAAACAAATATATGAGAATAATACCTCAGAGACTGCATTACAAGACAAATGTTTGTTAGTTTTTTCAATGAAGGAAACACCTTGCAGAAGAATTTTTTTAAAAAATGCTTAACTGGTAACAGTTTTCTATGCATAAATAGCAGTGCATACTATAAATGGTGATGTGTCGGCTGCAGTTACTATATATACAAAGATCATGCACCAAACACAATGATACATAAATGACTTCCTGTATAGTAAATATTATCCATGAAGGAAACTGTGATGAATGAAGCAATCCTTAGATGGCACAAAAGGTGCATATTCTGACCAGTGCAGATAAATAAAGAACGAGCATAGTTCTTTACCACCAACCTGATGTTCTTTAATGAGGTACACTGATTGAATACATTCATTTTTAATTAGATACACTGATAACAGTGCAGGTTTCTAACTGTTTCATGGAAAGTCAAAATACGTTACAATACATCATCACTTCAAATTCATTATGTGCCCAAAACATTTTTGAAGTTTTAACATATAGATCTTGCTTTCTACTTCTGTTTCCCATCTATCATATTGCAACTAACCTTTCCTCTTCATTCTCTCTTTCTCAAGCTGATTTCTTCTGTATCTCTATGTCTGGGACTTTACTGCAGCTTCTTTACCTGATTCACTAGAGACATGTAATTTCTGACTGTACCAAAGTTTTCTATGTGGGTTACAAACTGTAAGTACAAATAGAGATGACAATATATTTGATCAGCATGTAAAGTTCCCCTCTTGCCTCTGCTTCTGATTGCACCCATGGTATAGATCACTGCCCGACCATTTCTCTAGGCCTGTATAAGGTTTCCTTTACTCTAAGCTTCACTATAAGCCCTATCCAGACTCTGGCATCCTTCCAACATGAGACTGGCACTACCTCAGATAATTGTGCCTCCAGTGTGTGGACTAAGTAACTCCAAAACCTGGTATCTAAAATGCAACATGGAGGTCTTTAGGGTCAGAGCCTTTGTGTATATAGCTGTACAGTATATGGAAGGTTTGCCATGTGATTCAGAATCTCAGACCACATAACCCGGAGTTCTGTCTTCATGGACATTTCCACACTTGGTGCTCTCCGTGCTGAAGACCTCATCCTTGCAACCATTTGTGCTGCATGAGCAGACAACATAGAGGCCACCAGTTAGCATGTGTCACATCTGCATTGTCCTGCTCACATGGTAGAATAAAACATGAGTAAAACTTCTGGCATGCTTATTTTTCAGTGGGCTACAACTGTCACGCTCCCACAACAATTGATTGTGCATGAAATTTCATAACATCACTGCAGCTAAATTAAAGTAGGGGTACTAATGAACCAACAAGCAGTTGTTTAATTTTAAACATCTGTTACATATCTGTCCTTGGATAATATAGGGAATGAATGACAACAGCATGGAATAGTGGTGTACACTTGCAAAAGTCAACGCAGGAGTGGGTGATACCTTTATTAGAACACTAAAAAACAACAACGCCCAAACGATTTGATAGCTTTCACGGATCAAATACCACTTCCTCAGGCATGCACTGATGCCTTGATGATAGTGCAGAGAAATTAGAATCCGAAAAGTTCATGGCAAATGGTTGTGCCAGGCTTGTTTCTTATAGGTAAGTTAGAAAAAGTGCAGGCTGCATTGGAGGTGTCGTTTTCTAACTAGCTGTTGATTGGGTATCTTACTCTAGCTTGTCAAAGAAAGAAACTCAGCCCTTATGCATATGCCTTCTTTTGAAACGACAGGCTTCTATTTGGCCAGAGTCAAATAGAAGTCAAAATGTAAACAGTCCCTTTCTTGCCATTCTGCCTTACTTTCTATCTCCTAACTCTTCTATAAATTGCTTGGCCACTCTGCTTCTCTGGTGCAGTATAGCCATTTTACTGTCATTGTATCAAACTTGCAAGTTGGTTAGAAAAATACAATTAAAAAAAATATCTTCTGACTTAGCAATTTCTGTGTTGTTATTGTTGTTGTTGTTTTAGAAACCTTATGCTTGCCAGATTCCTGGGTGCACCAAACGATACACAGATCCAAGTTCTCTAAGAAAACATGTAAAGGCCCATTCATCCAAAGAACAGCAGGCCAGGAAAAAGGTAACTTTCACAGGCCAGGACTATGCATGGATGAGATCTGCAAATGCAAAGGTATACAAAAGGTGCAATCTGCTATATCCTGCTTTAGTTAATGTAGCCCACCCTGCTTGATTTAAATAGATTCTCTGTGCAAACTAATAATGATGAAAATTTATACTGTCATGGATTTATATTCCCTCATGTGGATATCAAACAATACATCATTATTTCTAAGTAGTATTTGCTGTTGCTTTGTAGTGTATATATTGTGCTCCATATATTGTATTTCCCATTCATTCTTTACTGATCTATAGCTTCTGCACACACAACCCAGCAGAAGAAATACAAGAAACCAATCACTTTTCCTCTGCAGCTGAGCATAAAATGAAGACCTGGCTGCATTGTTCACTTACTTTTGTATCAATCTGAGTTTGGAATACATTTCATAAACAATGCTAAAGAATTGGTTCAGAGGCTTAAAAATGAGTTCTTAGGCCATAACATATAATATTTATAAGCTATAGTGCACTTACAAAATGTTTAAGAATGTTATATGACTAACTCACTTTACGTGTTGGTATTTGAAATATTTCTTGGCATAATAATAAAAATGAGAGGAACAATAAACCTTTAAAGTCAGAATTAAGGTTATTTATGGCTTTATTAAAATGAAAATTGGCTTAACATTAAAAAAAATCTTTACAAAAATGTGAATTCATCAAAAATAACCATAAGAATTCCAAGGTGATAAAAGCACAGTGAAGTAATAGCTCTGACCCTGGGGAACCATTCAGCTGAATAGAAAGAGACCCTTTCCTGTTACACCCTGTTAGTCATGGATTTGTTTAATATATCCTGCTTGACTGCCCCTAATCCTCTTTTTAAACCTCTGCACTCCACACTAAATAATGTTATTTTGCTATCTTAAGATATAACTTGTCATTCAAAATGCCATGCACATATTGAAAATACTAGGTTACACACAAACATGCATACGCTGTGGCATGCTCTTACTGTGAGAAATCCTAGTTACAGTGATAGAATGCCTATGGATTCCAGTACAGCTGGATTTCTGTAACTCTGACAGTATATGGTTATGCTGATATTGCCAGTATCATAATGAATCATTATATCATTTTGCTTTTCCTTCTGGGAATTCATTCAAGGTTTTGGTAATAAGTCAAGGTGAATTACAGATGCATACTGCATCTAGGGAGATGATGGAAATACAAAGTATCCTGGGGAACAATGGCCATCTTGCTCTTCCCCTGTACATACCTGTAAGAAGAGCATCTCCAGGCATTATAAAATCATAAACACCTATTTGTATTAGTAGAAACTTTAGCTAAAATAGAAGAATGTAGCTAAAATAGAATAGATGTTGTATTTACATTGATTTGATAGCTGTCTAGAAACTGATTGTCCCTTAGTTTAATATAGACTGAGCCCCAGAGCTAAATGAGAGAGAGTGTTAAATGCAGTTTACAATTGCTTGTGTTTTTTTTAACCTAAGATAAAGATGCACTGCTCAAATCCAAACTAGGAACACAGCGCACCAGTGCAGAAGGTTTATCCTCTCACCTAGCAATTTTTTGTCCAAACCTATCTCCCTTTGTAAAGCTGGAAGCTTTCTTTGGTGGCTGTGGATGCTCTGCCTGTTAGTGGGAGGGCAAACTTTGGTAGAAGATACCTTGGGGAAAGAGTTAAACCAGTCACTTACTATGATCCCAATCCAGGCCATGCACACTTACTTGAGAATAAAAGAATAAATTATGCTAGTATATATTTAATGTAGCCTTTTGTTTCTGTCCAGCCACATTAAATATATACCAGCATAACTTACTCTTATTATTCAGAACAGGATGTCCCGGACAACCCAGATAGTGGGTTGAGCCAGATATCCTGGAGAGCAAAGTTCAGTGGGCCTTAGAAAGCATGGCTAACAACAAGACCAGTGGAGGTGATGGCATTCCAGCTGAACTATTTAAAGCCTTAAAAGATGACACTGTTAAGGTGCTACACTCAATATGCCAGCAAGTTTGGAAAACTCAACAGTGGCCAGAGGATTGGAAAAGATAAGTCTACATCCCAATCTCAAAGAAGGGCAGTGCCAAAGAATGCTCCAACTACCGTACAATTGCACCCATTTCATACACTAGCAAGGTTATGCTCAAAATCCTGCAAGATAGGCTTCTCCAGTATGTGAACCGAGAACTCCCAGAAGTACAAGCTGGATTTTGAAGGGGAGGACCTAGAGATAAAATTGCTAACATGTGCTGGATTATGGAAAAAGCCAGAGAGTTCCAGAAAAACATCTACTTCTGTTTCATTGACTATGCAAAAGCCTTTGACTGTTTCGACCACAGCAAACTATGGCACGTTCTTAAAGAAATGGGAGTGCCTGACCACCCTATCTATCTCCTAAGAAATCTATATGTGGGACAGGAAGCAACAGTTAGAACTGGATATGGAACAACTGATTGGTTAAAAATTGGGAAAGGAGTATGACAAGACTGTATATTGTCTCCCTGCTTATTTAACTTTTATGCAGAATATATCATGCGAAAGGCAGGACTGGATGAATACCAAGCAAGGATTAATAATTCCTTCTCACTTTCTGCCATCAAAGAACCTCTTAATGAGGGTGAAAGAGGAGAGTGCAAAAAATGGTCTAAAGCTCAACATTAAAAAAAGACTAAGATCATGGCCACTGGTCCCATCACCTTCTGGTAAATAGAAGGGGAAGATATGAAGGCAGTGACAGATTTTACCTTCTTGGGCTCCATAATCACTGCAGATGGTGACAGCAGCCACAAAATTAAAAGACACCTGCTTCTTGGGAGCAAAGTGATGATAAACAGACAGCATCTTAAAAAGCAGAGACAGCACCTTGCCAACAAAGGCCTACATAGTTAAAGCTATGGTTTTTCCAGTAGTGATTTACGGAAGTGAGAGCTGGACGATAAAGAAGGCTGACCGCCGAAGAATTGATGCTTTTGAATTGTGATGCTGGAGGAGGCTCTTGAGAGTCCCCTGGACTGGAAGGAGAACAAACCTATCAATTCTAAAGGAAATCAACCCTGAGTGCTCACTGGAAGGACAGATCCTGAAGCTGAGGCTCCAGTACTTTGGCCATCTCATGAGAAGAGAAGACTCCCTGGAAAACACCCTGATGTTGGGAAAGTGTGAAAGCAAGAGGAGAAGGGGACGAGAGAGAACAAGATGGCTGGACAGTGTCACTGAAGCTATCAACATGAATTTGACCCAACTCTGGGAGGCAGTGGAAGACAGGAGGGCCTGGCATGCTCTAGTCCATGGGGTCACGAAGAGTCGGACATGACTTAACCACTAAACAACAACAAATATTTAATGTAGTGTGTGTTTTAGCTTTGAATTAGCCTAAGCTAATTACATCTCCTGGAGCATTCAGCTAGTTCTGTAGTGGGTACCAGAAGGGGAGAAATGGGAGGGACATGCTCTTAGTGAGGAAAGTCAGTCTGGATAACCTTGAAGGCAAACTGAGTACAGTATGGAATCTTGCTGTGAGTAAATTCAGATCAGTGCAAGAAAGGGACCACAATTCCAACTACAGATATGCATGCCCTGCCAGTTTGGCCGTTCATGCTGGTTTGTTTATCAGCCCAATAGGTGTTCAGAACTTTAAAGCCCTGGCTCCTCCAGTGGACGCCCACTTGGAGGCAGCCGCCTGGCTTCCCTGCTTCACCTGTCTCTTGAGTTTGTGCCCACAGGAGGAGGTGGGGTTTTGAAACGCTGGACTCCTGTTCAGCTGATAAATGAACTAGCATGAACCGCCAAACTGGCAGTTCATGCCCATCTCTAGTTCCAACCCACATTGATTCAAAACAGCAGTTTGTTGGGTGGGCTTCAAGAAAATGTCATCTAGAACTTTAATATATTATTGGGAGAAGTCTCAAATGGTTAAGCTTTTGAATCAGTAGTAGGTGGCTCTTTTAAATTTATCTAAGATCTAAAAAACTGTAAAGCTATTTCTGGAAGTCTGAGAAGAACAAATAGATTTTTTACACTGTATGGGGAAACGTTATGAGGAAAAGAGATTTTGGCAGGAAATGATTTGTAATATTATTAATATTTTGCAGGACATTATCCATTTAGACTCTAAATGAGAGCCCAGAATTTGCTTGCTAGCTTATCAAAAACTGCAGTTCCCAAAAACAGAGGAAATACTCTTGCATATGATATTTCCAGCTCATCTTCCTTATTCCAGAAATAGGAGGCAGAGTACTTCATTTAAAAAGAGTGATATATTCTTTTAAAATGTGGGCCATAACAAACTTAAGTAAAATTACTTTGTTTCATTAAGCAAAGCAAAGAAGATAAAAGAAGAGCCATTATAAGGTTCAGGTTTGGTAAGCAGGGTGCAATAAGTTGTAATTCTTTCTTTTTCTACAGCATCTCACTGTTTAAGGATAAATCCAATCTTAGTCTCAACCAGAGTAGATCCTTTAATATGAGTTGACTTCACACTAGTGCTAAGTAACGAGTTCCATTCATTTTAATAGGTCTGCACTAGTTAGAACTAAAATCAGTTTCAACACTCAAACTATAGGATGTTCAATGAATGTTTAATATTTGTAGTAGACATTAGTCTATTGAAATGTACCATATTTTTCCATCTATAAGATGATACTTTTGCCTAAAATCTTTAGACTAAAAATTGAGGGTCATCTTATATCCAGACATAAGTTGAGGAGAGAACAAAATGGCCCATACCTTCTCTTTGCAAACAGATTTCCTTCAGTCACGAGGTTTAGCTTCCTACAGTTAGGATCCTGCAGCACTTTGATCCATTTCCCCCTCTTTAACCCGGGCATAGCAAGAAGGGGGAAAGCAGGGATCAAAGCAACTGCGGGATTGCTTTGATCCCTTTCCCCCTCCTTTTGCAAAGCCCCACGGGGCTTAGCATTAAAAGAGAAAGCAGGGATCAAAGCGATCCTGCAGCATTTTGATCTCTTCCCCCCTACAAAAAGGGGGCAACAGGG